ATTATTATATAATACAATATTCAAATTAAAATAGATAAAAAATTTTCGCAGTGTTGTTATCATATTTAACGTTCTACATAATAGTTTTGATAATCAAATAAAATTATTTTCAGATCTGTGTCTGTGTCAAATTTTTTCTTCAGATTTCTCAGCAAAACTGTTCTCTCCGCGTAGGAATTTGATTTATAGACAATTTTGCAAGCGCGTTTCTGATTTTTTATTTTCGTTTATTAAATATAATGTAAAGCGAAATTTTTTTAGTTCATTGCGTGAAAATACAATAAATCAAATCGTAAGTGTACATCGAGATGTTACATGGAGAACAGATTCCGTATACCGCAGCAGCATTAGAATAAACGAGCACTGAAAGTCTAAATGGGATTCTTATGGGAATTATGATAGTTTTAGGTAGCTGGTGGCTAACTAAAGTTAAGTAAGTTATCCTCGCCTACAATTTTCTACCGCACAAATTCATATCAATATTAGGACAAGCGATTCATTATTTTGTGGGCGGCCAAGTTATAACGATGACTTAGTATCATGTTTTACTAAACTTTCTCGATCAGAGAAGAAAGGGGTTTGTTATTTATCAATAATTATTTGTATCGAGGAAATTTATGCCACAGACAATATATTATATTTATATTCGAAATAAGATAGGAGAATATTTAATCGTCAATGATTATTAAATTGCGTATAATTTAACCAACATACAACAGTGATATAAATCATGATGAATCGTACGTGAAACTGACCTTAAATGTTTAAAGCAAACATTCACCTCAACCTCGTCTTTTGGGATTTCGAACATTCGCCTCATACGATCCGCAAGTTTCACTGACTCTAGCTATCGAGGTCCATAAAATCTCGAATGTATTTTGCAACGGCAGCAGGAAGAAATTGCCCCAGAGTTCTTGTCATTACGGAAAAGTCCTTGGAAAGTACTTCTGAGTCTTGAAAAATTTCACGAGGTCCTCCTTGTCATTTTCTAATGACTAAACTGTTTTGCTACGACCGTCAGTTTAGCAGTTCGTAGAGCATAACATAGTCTTAGATCTTTTATTAATTAATAGTATCCCATTCTTTAATAATTTAATACTACGAAATTGAATAGAAAATTATTCGCAAAAGATATTCGAATCATTTAATAAGCCATTAAGTCATTTGATTTCTTATAATGACGAACAAATTACAAAGAAACGCGTAATTATAATCAGCAACCATATATCACCATTAATTATTTATTAAATAAAATAACATTTAAATTTTATTTATACTTACTGTCACTTTTTTAGTTTCTTTTCCTAGTTTCATTAGGCGATTTGGCATTTACCAGGATATCGCGTTTGGTAATTCGTCGCAATGGATATGCGTAAAGGTAATGTTTAATCACGAAATCCGGGACGTCCAACCAGCATAGCTAATGAGGCAAAATGTCTTCAATTAAGTGTATCACAAGGTATCGACATATCGCGCACAAGATAACGAGGCACAGCCGTCATATGACGCGATCGATATATTGCACTGCCAGAGATCCCTTTGAGCGTGTATGCATAGGGACACGTATGTGTATAACTGATAGAACGAATGAGGTGCGTATTAGCAAACATCAAGCGGCCTAATTTAAAATTAACTAATCACTCGTAGATGCAGTTATGGCATCACGTCGATATGTAAATTAGCATTAGGTTGCTAATTGCCTATGCGCGGATTAGACAATTATGAGGTTAATTATGCAATAAACTAAACGTAATAATAGATGTAAATATTATTATACTATGTATATAGGAAGTAATGAAAGTATCACGTTGCTCATTAAGCTTTTTTTCCCATTTTCTATAATAGAAAAGTAAGCTCTTAGCACGTAAAAACGGAGAATTTTATTTTATATTTTTGTGAGGATATTTTCATGGTGTTGTATATAATTGTTATTTTTTGCATTTTATTAATACCGAGTATTCGCTTGATTCCTTCGAAACAATTATAACAATTGTTTCCGCGTTCAACGTAAATTGCAGTCATTATGAAGTAATTAGCAGCGTTTCTACGATATATACATACATATATATATATATATATATATATATATATATATATATTAATACGTAGAATCTACGTACGTTTACGTTAGTAGTATAATTAGTTTAACTTAACTAAGTTAGTTTACGTTTAGGTTCGGTACTTACTACTAACACAACACACACACACACACACACACACACACACACACACACACACACACACACACGTATATATATATATATATATATATATATATATTATATATATAAATTGGTACCGATTTAATTATCAGGTCTCTGCTATTGGCAAACGCTTGCACACTCAGCTTTGATCGAAATTCTCTAACAAAGCAACCGCTTCGCTTCTGCATCTTAGAGCATAAGAGAGCAAATAGCGTTCTCTGCGACGCGTACAGATCGATATGGATGCACGTGTGTATACACATATGTCAATAATCAATTAAATTATCGGCAAACGCGTCTGGGTAGACGCCGTCCTAATTTGCGCCTCCAATGTCCAAATCGCTATAGCGGCGTACAGTTATAGGGCCAGCCGTTTGCTAATTATTTGCGGCAGGCAGAAAACGCGGTCTAAATGGGCGACACCACGGTCGCGCGCTCCGTGCGAGGACCGTTAATGATATTTCGGTAACATCAGGTCGCAAGTGTGCACTAATTAACGCTGTGTCGATAGCAATGCTACATGTTCTGGTACGCCAAGAAACACACGGGCGTACGGCTATAACCGTGGCGTCACATTGCGTTTACAATCTATCAAAATGCGATAAATCGCTCACGAAATTATTCGTAAGTCGCAAAATCTTTGTTTGATAACACAAAAAAAATCCTACAAAAAAAAATCAATATTATAAATAACATATTTATTATGGAAAAAGAATATATACGAGGAAAAAGTCGATAAAATGCATAATATCAAGTATGAGCCAAATTTCAGAAAATTATACAGAAAATTATATTTAAAATTTTGCATTACACATTAATACTTTGCTAAAGTTTGTTGTAATTTATCAAAATACAAAAACAATAATTACCAAAATAATATTTTTAGTAACCTACAGTCATAACAATTTTCATACGAAAATATGGCGCAAAATTGTCATATATTAATATTTATTGCTTCGTCGTTTAATTCTTTGTCTCGCGCATTATCATTAATATCCGCTTCTCTAATAGAATACATAAATAAATATCTCTAAATACGTAAATACGGCGATTCGCAGTTGCGATTACATCCGCGGTTTATTCGCGTCTGCATGCACACTCATGCAAAATCCCTTCGTGTTCGCATCAGCTCAAGTGTAAGCGGATCGATTTTAACCACAGAACTTTCCTACACACAACACCTATTTTTGTTCTGAAATTAATTTTTATCCTATCTTTAGACTAAGATCGCTCGAGTTTTCGTTTATTTTCGCCCGTTACCGATTCGGATGGTAAATAACAGTAACTAACTAGAGCGCTATTTCCGTGTCGTGTCGTGTTCCCGCTGGGCGCTGGACCAAAAAATTCGAGATATTTATTATGGGTAAATTGCCAGTTGAGTTACCCCGCGAGAGATATTAAATCGCGTGATGGCGTAACATCTCTTCCGAGCGAAAGCAATTAATTAATGTCGATTGATGCGAATTCCTTTCGCGTGGACATTTACGACTCAGTTACGATATAAACGCAGTCAGTGCCATGGACGCTGGGTAGCATCTAGCAAGTTAGTTTCGAACCTTCTATCTGCGATCAATTACTCTTCGTGCAGTTAATTACTCTTTGTCTAGCTTCTAGCAGTACGTTACGTCTCCTTACTCTCCTTACTCTCGCCACATTAGGAAAGCGTTACCTTACGATCACATGAATTTTAAAGCACGTTTTCGTTGGAAATAACAATAAAACGGGAAGAAAAGAAACTCTCTTATCTTATCCGCTTCCAAGACTGCTACGCGATATCAAATAATCATTGCTTATTTTCTTCTTTATAACGGCAAATCCATCAAAGATCTTTATACATGGAGAAAAAGAAAATATATATGTAATATAATAATATAATGAAATTTTATTCTACTTGAAGTTTCTTACGATCCTTCCTTCGTGAACTAATTTAATAATTCTTAGTATTACTAGCCACGCTCATTCAATTTCTTCAAAATTGGCTAAACACAAAAATAATATTTCTCTTTTTTCCTCAATCTTTTTATAATTCTTATCTTTTTCTAGTTAACTAGAAAAGTTTCCTAGCAGCTTTATTACTTTTACAATACACCGTCGACTTATATTGCTTAACATTCTTAAAGTTTTTTCCGAAAACATAATAAGTCCTTTCTTCCATAAGTCCTTTCTTTTCCTCTTATCGCGCTTTCTTTCGACCCTTTCCATCGTGAGGGACACGCGGACGCAAGGTTGGGCTAATTGAGCGGGGACTCGATTTCGAGTGGATCTCTCTATGTTTTCTCTAGGCGACGCACGTACCGCGGAAACCACCGAGGGCTGACTGGTCGTCCAGGATTGTGCCAAGAAAAAGGAATACGTAGACGCGTGTAGTTTTACTCTTAAGTCGATTAAGTTCCTTTTTACTTGACCCTCCGCCTCAGGCGCTGGGATAGAAAATATTTCGAGAGGCGGTTTTAAAATCTCCGGGGTGCTTCGTATAGGGACGTGACCGAATAGCGATCGAAGGTTTTATCCGGACGGAAAACAATGGCAGCAAATTGGAAGACAGGCAATATCACGTGGACTTCCGAGGCACGAGCAGCCAAGTCTGTCTTCTCTGCTTTAAATATTGATCCCGGAGATTGGCGAAATCAAACTGGAATTCTTTCCCCCTTTCTTCCTTTTTGGAAAATCTGTTTTGACTACTGTCTCGCAAATACTGAAATATTGTCTCGCAACGGCAAAAATGTAATTGTATATAAATGTTAAAAATTGGAAATGATATGCATACCCTAATATATCTCATAATTCTGTTTACAGCTATTTATGGAATGCTCTGATGAAGTCATCACTCAACGGAGAACATGAAGGCCAATTATTTATCGATAATCGTTAGATTCTGTACGTTGCTGATACTATTTGAATCTGCCACAGATGTCCATTCACTCGATATACGTAAGTACAATTCGCAATAATAATAATTAAATAGATATATCCAGATAGAGACACAAGCATTGCATAATTTAATGATTTGTAAGTACAAAATACATATTACCTATACGTAAAATGTTTCAAATTTAAATTTTCATCTTAAAAATTAAGCATGGCATTTTATAAAATTGCCAATAATACGACTCAAATACTTTCGCTTCTTGCATTGAGAACTTCCACGCTTCGTTCTTATTTATAGAATGCAACATTTAAAGTGCAGCAACCGCTAATTGTAAAATGATATTTTTACCGTTACGAAAAAATTGATAAAGCATTCTTCGGGCTGGGATAACCGTGCAGTCGGGCGGGTGACAGGCAATAATAAAGAAAGTCTCGTGCAGTCAGCTGCGCGAGAAGTCAAACGATGTGTTTCCGAGCGAATTCCGGGCTATTGCAGCTGCGGAAAGCTCATTCTGCAGAGGTGCTATCCTTACCTTGCCCCATACCGCATCCCGCGGCTTTCTCTCTATCTCCTTAGCTCGCTCCTTCTCCGCTGTCAAATTTTTCATCGGGAGCAGGTGATTTCCGAGTTTTTATTTTCCTCCGGCCTGCTACTACGATGAGGGTGCTATCACTCTGAAGTAATGACTCGCTATTCTCCATCCACCCGGGGGATCAATTATTTTGAATCTAATGCGACAGGATAAATTGCATTCCCGCGGAAGGCTCCTTGCGCCGCCCTCTCTTCTTCGATTCCTCGCAACCCCTCCACGGATCGTCGGCGATGGGAGCGGAGCAATTTTGTGCTAAAAGGCACGCCGCCTTCGGAAAACAATTCCCTCATTACCCCGAACCGAGCAGGCCGCCATGCAACTCGACAAATTCAGAAAGCAACGTATATTGATTGTTCTACTTGCTTCGTGTATATTGAATATTTAGAATTTTTTCGAAATCTTATGATAAAAAAGTTAATGAGAAATTTTATTGTCACGTTTAGGCGATATAAAAATACGACGACTATTTAATACGTCATCTAAATCTATTTGTTATATTTTTCTCTAACATAATTTTTATTGTGTTTTGACTGAAAATAATGATAAAATTACCATTTATTTTTGATGAATAATATTAAATAGATTAATACGTTATGTTGTCAATTTATCACATTATTTAGTTTCATCCATTTTATTCGATATCAATTTGATATACCTAAATCTTTCTATGCCGCGCTACATAATGTTTAAATGATATTATTTATAACAATAATGTTATATTAATTACATTATTTATAACGAGATTGTAACGTTTATGCGTAGAGTGCGTTGAAAATTATGTATTGATTTATCACACATACATATGACATATACACACATGAAAATTATGTATTGATTTATCAACAGAGATATATATGTCAATGCGATGATTCTTGACTTTAAAATCATAAATTTGATATTTTTATTTAAATAAGATTATGCAAAGAGAGAATATATATAAGGAAATATCAGACACGCTGAAAACATTGAAAAGAAGAAGTTTAAATCGAAAAGCTTTCCGGAGTATATTCAACATCATCCGAGTTGGAACGCTCCGATGATTTTGATCAAAGACGATCGTTGATTTGCGTTGAGATACTTGAGCGGAGTGTCTTTTTTTGCGGCATGAAGCTCAGCGAAATTCTTTCTTCGTCAATCGATTATCGGCATATAAAGCGCTATGGTTTCCGAAAGAACGTTCAAGTCGCTTAAGAAATTCCCGAGATTATTGATGTTTTCGCGAAGCTCGCAATAAAGAAGCTCGTCTCTATTTCCGCTTTGCCGTGTCTGTGTAATACGATCCATGATGATGTACGTGCCTAAAATATCGTTACTCCAGAACGAAGCACGCGAGTTTGTGTAAAAGCGTCATTTTCGCTCGAACGTTATATAAAGACCTATCCTCTTTTCTTCTTAATTTTTGATTGTCCGAATAATACGTCTTTGTAAACCATCTGGTATCCTTTAAACATTTATTAATCGAGCGAGAGTACCAAGTCCCGTAGATCATCCTAAATGTGGAAAATGCATGTACACTTGCGTCATCGTTACATGTACGACTACGTCATATTTTACAAAAGGTCAGCGCCATTACTCTTACACCTTCTTCGTGGTAACGACTTCCTCGAGAGACGACTTAATGGACGAAAGGTCGTAGAAGCGGAGGAAACGACGAAGGAACACCTAGCACGTAGAGCGCCGTTGACACAAATGCTCCGACTATGATTTAAGGATGTTTTCCACTTAGGTCTATTAAAATAGTTACCCAACTTTAAAGTGTGCATAGTTAGATAGTAATACGTTTACCAATAAAAAATTACGCTGACGGTGATTTGTCGAGATCGAAGTTTTAACGTCGTTCTAAGGCTTTTGCCAAGTGTTGTATTAACGGAAATAAGATTCAAAGAAAAACGATAAAAGGCAGATCGTAAGCAGATATGAGGGATAAGTGTATAGGACGGTGGGGGAGTAGAGGGCAAAGAGAAGGGTAAACGGACGACCATTGTTGCGAGCTTTTGTCGGTGTTAGGTTCTGCCGGCGTTTTCCTCGTTATGGTAAATGGTCTTGTTTTCGTGGTTGGGCAAACAGTTACACAATGATAAGTGCTAGCGTCGGGTGTAGTCGGCCGCCGTCTCGAGACAGTTTCGAGGACCTCTGCTCTCTATTCTTTCGCCCTTTGAACGATAGTTTCGTGACTGTCATAGCCGAGATTCTCGAAAGGTGTCCGGTGTGAGCTCTAAATGACTGCTAAGGATGCACAAAGGTTTCCATTATCCGTGAGCAAATCATTCCGTTTTACGTCATTGAAAAGTACACGAGTACACGCGCATTATTACTTCATGAATATACCTGCCTCGGCATACTGATAGAAACGACGAGATAGGCAGAAAGAGAGAGAGAGAGAGAGAGAGAGAGAGAGAGAGAGAGA